TGCGGAATTTATGCTGTTATCCGGGGCGGGGCGGGGCGGGGCGGGGCGGGGCGGGCCAAACCACGCGGAATAACGTGTACACCTGCTACACATCGAGGGGAGCGCCGCCGCCACCGCCGCCAGTGATATGCAGTCGCCTCGCGAGTGATATATCGCCGGCCAGATGCTTGCGACTCCGCTTTGCGTGCTTTGCGACGAGGTCATATTGCCGCCTTTTTGCGGAACAACGCGCAGCAGCGACACAGCGATGACCGCGTTGTTGCTGCACGGCTACACACACCACACACACACACACACACACACACACACACACACAGCGCGCTCCGCCGATGACGTCACGTGGCGACAGAGTGGCGACGAATCGTCTCGTTTGAATTCCAGTGGCGGGGTGGTGGCCGCTTGACCCTCCGGCGTGGCGTGGCGTGGTGCGCGTCCGACACGGTAGTCGCGGGTTCGAATACCGGCCGGGCGCGCGATATTTATGCGTGTAGGGTGAGGGAGGGAACACGCGCGAAAGGGGGAGGGCGGCGGAGAAAAATGCACGGTGCGCCGTGACATGCCCATTGTGGTCAGCCTCCTCCAGCGCCGCCAAGATGAAATGGCGGACTGCCTGCCCGGCGCGAGATTGCTCCGCGCGATATTGATAGTGGTAATAATAATAAGCGGTAATGCCGCGGTGATGGCGCGTGAAAGAGCGGCCATGCATGGCCCGCCACGTCCACGGCCCGCGCTCGGCCCGCTCGCAGTGTGAGGAAAGAAATTAATATGAGGAGCGGCGGAGTCGGGCCAGGGAGCATACCAATGAGAATCCGGCTCACAACACCGCAATAATTCGCCTCATTCATTACGCGAGTGGCAGGCCCGGCCGACAGCGCGACAACACTGCAAGTCGCGTCAAGCGCGCGTCAAGCCGCGGCACTGGTGGGGGCACGGCTCCGGCGCGCGGCGAGGACCAATCAGACATTAATGAAAGGCGCCAGTTTTGAAAAAGCCGGAAAAGTGACGTCAGATGTGAAACAACCGCTCTCTTCGCTGGAAGGTGTGTGGAGCACCAAGGGGTCGAAAGGGGAGACAGTGCTTACAGTGTTGTGCCTCGTGCTTACCCGTCCTCGAGCATGACCCCAGCGGAGGGGGAGGGAGAGCGTGTCATGCGAGCGTCTAATTAATCAGGGGTGAGCGTATTGCTCTGCCTGCCGACTGATGACGCGGAGGGGCGGGGCGTGGCGGGGCGGGGCGGGGGGGGCGGGGCGGGGCGGGGCGGCTCGGGTCCGTAAGAAGCAAGTTACTTGGTTCTGGGTCAACGCGCCGCGTTTCAGTGATGTGCCATCGCCCCGACCCCAGTGCTGCTGTACTGCCACTCTGGCAGTGGAGGTCCCGCTCCCTTTGCGGTCAAATCGGTATGCACTCCAGCTGAGAGGCACTCGTCAATGCAGCGCCACCCCCACCCCGCGGCAGACTGATTCCGAGCTCTGTCTCTCTCGCACCCACCGGGCGGCCCGGAAGGGTGCGAGAGAGGCAGGCGGCGGGCTCCGCCATGCCCTACGCAAGCAGCTTGGCGACTCGTTACGCATTTGGGTTCGAGCGAAGTAGATCGATGGATGCCGTTCGAGTCGCGCTATCGACAAGTGTAGGCCCACGGTCCATGCCCTGCCTCGCTTCTCCAGTGGCTCGGTGGCCCCGGCGGCGTGCACTGCATTTATTGGAAATGTTTTGAATGGCGGCGCATGCTCGGCGACGGCATCTCGCTCCTGCGTGCTCCTCCACTGCAATACGTGTCGGGGTGGCTCGTGCATGCGGTGCCGCTACACTGCCCCCTTGTCCAAGACCGCATACAGCCCGCCGGACGACCGCACAGTGTGCTCGCAGTACAGTGCGCACACGGGCCGCCGCGCCGGCATGCACCCCACCGCGATGCCGCCAATGTTTCACCGCGGTACGAACCGGTCACGGGGAAAAGCCGGCGACGTGCACTACGGCGTCGTCGGGGACCCCGGCAGCCAGGACCCTGATGGCCTCGGGGCGACGTCCGTCGGCCTGCCTCACGGCCTGCTTGCCGTGAGAGCGACGAGCGCGGCGGTCGGCCAGCGGCGGCCTCGGACGCAGACTCGGACGCGGTCTCGGCTAATGGCGGGGGCAGTGCCGTCTCTCTCGCACCCACCGGGCACGCCCGGCACGCCCCGCGAGTGCGAGGGAGACGGAGCGACAACAGGCAGCGAGAGCCGAGTTGTTTGCCGCTAATGGGCTGTGGATGTGTGCATTGATTCCGGCGGGGCAGGGGGCGGGGGGCGGGCGAACGGTGTATACTCCTGTGGTCTCTCCCCTGGCCGCCCCTCGCCCCCTCCAGCCCGCCCCCACCCCCCGCCGTACCTTCCGTTGTTCTAAGAGGGCCGAGCCGGGCAATATGCCGCGGCTGTACATGGTCCCTACCAAGTCCCTTCACCGACTCCCCAAACAACTTTCCCACTCCCACCCCCGCCCTCTTCCCCCCCTCTCTCTCCCTCTCTCACGTGACCCTTCTGCATCCCCTTTTGCTGCTCCACTCGGGGAGAGTCTCTCGGAGAGCAGGCGAGAGGCAATATAGGCGCCCGTTGCTGGGCCACGCTCTCCCTCTTAATCGAATAAACTCGTCCAACCTGGCGTGCCTGCGCGCGCGCGCGCGCGCGCGTGTGTGTGTATGAGTGAGTGCAGTTCAAAATTAAAGTGTACCGCGCCGCCCTGCAAGGCTTTCGGCAAGTGCACCTCACTGTGAATCTGGACGTGGCGCGCCGTGGAGCAGGTCGGTGTCTCTGGACGCCGTTTCGCCTTCCCCCTCCCCTACACCCCATGCAACCCGTGTGTGCCTTTCCGATATTAGTCCATTTCCATACGGCGACTGGAGGCGCTGCCCTCCGCGAGGCTAATTCTGCCGCGCTAGGGGTGCCGCCCGTCCCGGCCCGTCCCGGCCCGGCCAAGCTAGGGGTGCCACCGCAGTGTTTGCCGAACGTGGCCCCGCATGCAGCCTGCTGGCGCAGGGCAGGGCGTGTCGAGGGATTGGCGCGTGCCTTTCATTTTTGGCCGCGATAGCCCGTGAGTGGCTTCGTGGCTGCGCGCGGCAGTCCAAGTGCCAACGGCGCCAACGGGGAGGGGCGGGCGGCAACCCTAACTCGCTGTTTGGCTGGAGTTGATTTTTACTGCCGTGCAAACGACGAGAGGCGAAACTCTGGTTGTTTCCTGCTGGTGCCTCGCCGAGGGCTTATCAGTCAGGCTGGAAGCAGTGAATTTCAGAATTACCGTCTTTGCTGACTTGAGCGCTCATGCATCCAAATTAGTTGCGGTCAAAGGCCTCCCTCGAGCCTGACTGTGATGAAGATCCTACGCTTGATGGCACCCCCTGGTATGGCTGTGACCGCTATGTTTGGGAGCAGTGGTCTCGCAAAAATGGTCAAAAAGTGGAATTTCAGAAAATCCGGTTTGCTGACTTTGAGGGGCACGGGGTCCAATTTAGTTGCGGTCAAAGGCCTCCCTCCACGCCTCACTATTATGAAGACCCCTCTTTCAGCCCCGCCTCGGGAAGGCTATGACCCTGCCAGTTTGGGAGCAGTGGTCTCGCAAAAATGGTCAAAAGGAGCCATGTCAGAAAAGTTCCGTTTTTGCGGACTGGGAGCGGTCGGTGGGTCCAATTTGCCGCGGAAGGCCGCCTCGACGCCTTACTATTAGAAGAGCCGATCTTTCGCTCCGCCGCGGGAAGACGTTTTTACCCTTTGTTTTGGGGGCAGGCCCCCGCGGAAATGGTCAAAAAGGAATGATTCCAGCCAAGTTACCGTTTCTTTCCGACTTTAGCGGACGCATCCATTTAGTCGCGGTCAAAGGTCCCGGGACGCCGACTAAGCAACCCTACACTTCATGCCCCGGGCCCCGCGAAAGCACCCCTGATAGTTCCGGGGGCGGTCTCACAAAAATGGCAAAAGTGAATGAACAGAAAATTACCATTTTAATGATTTCGGAGTCACGCATCCAATTAGTTGCGGTCAAAGGCCTCCCTCGACGCCTCCTATTATGAAGACCCTACTCTTTCATGCCCCGCCTCGGGAAGGCTTTGACCGCTGATAGTTTGGGAGCAGTGGTCTCGCAAAAATGGTCAAAAAGTGAATGAATTTCAGAAAATTACCGATTTTGCTGACTTTGAGCGGTCACTGCATCCAATTTAGCTTGCGGTCAAAGGCCTCCTCGACGCCTTACTATAAGAAGACCCTACTCTTTCATGCCCCGCCTCGGGAAGGCTTTGACCGCTGATAGTTTGGGAGCAGTGGTCTCGCAAAAATGGTCAAAAAGTGAATGAATTTCAGAAAATTACCGTTTTTGCTGACTTTGAGCGGTCACTGCATCCAATTTAGTTGCGGTCAAAGGCCTCCTCGACGCCTTACTATTATGAAGACCCTACTCTTTCATGCCCCGCCTCGGGAAGGCTTTGACCGCTGATAGTTTGGGAGCAGTGGTCTCGCAAAAATGGCCAAAAGTGATTGAATCCCCGAGAGTATGATTGTCATTTCATTGGATGATGTTGATTATTGCTCTGATTACCAACTAGACGTGCAATGATTATCTTGAGTTGGGTACCCCTTGAAGAGATCCGCGCGGGCTGGAACTCTTGTGTTGGCGCGTTCCTGGTAGGTGTTCCAGAGCCTCGCGGGGTGCTTGGCGGCCTGCTTCGCCTGCTTGCAGTGCAGCAGCGCGGCCCGCTGCACGGAGGCTGCGGGGGGCGCGACGTCGCGGCGGGGAAGGACTCCACGCTGCGCTGCGCCACTTCCCCCGGAGCGAGGCAGAGCGGGCAGGGCGAAGCGCCACCGCCAGGCTGCGGCACGGCGACGCCGAGGCGAGCGGCGAGCGGAGCCAGCGAGCCAGCCAGCCAGTGCGCTGCGGAGCTGGGAGCGGTGCGGTCGGGTCGAGCCGAACGCCGCGACGCCGCGCACCGAGTGGGCCGACCCGAGCCGAGCCGAGTTCGCTCGCGAGCGCGCGGGAACGACGCGGACCTAGTGCGGAGCACGCAGACGCCCCCACCGCGGAGCCGGCCTCGCCGGCCTCGTCCAGCGCCCCAGGTTGACGGCAGTCTCGCCGCCCTCCAGGACGCCGTCGTCGTCGTCGTCGTGGTCCCGGTGTGCCGGCGACGCGCCAAGCAGCGCCACAGGTGCACTCCAGCGCCGGCGGCAGCGACAAGCACCCCGTGATTGTCTCCCGGCGGCGGACGATCACAGTGTAGTGCGCGGCAGTGTCGATGAACTGACAGTGCATCATTAAAAGGATTACCCGCGCGGCGCGAAAAAAAAACCCAACGAAAAACAGTGTGGGGTCGGATTGTGTCGTGACTGTTGTGGTTGGCCGGGCCGCCGTTTCGGGAGAGGCGGCACGCCGAAGGAACTCTTCTCCGCTGGCAATGTGAGTCACCTGCGTTTTCACTGACGTTAAAAAAAAAAAGAAAAAACGGGTACCGCAAAGCGTTTCTCCCGCTAGTTGGGTGCGTAGTACGCGTCCCATCAACGTGAGAATGATTCAATTTAACTCTTTTCCGTAAAAACAAACCGATTTGAAATGATCACCGGGTCCCGCCCCCCGCCGGGCCGGCATGGTGACCGAAATTCGAGGTTGGCCTGATCGGAAACGGCGTCGTCGCTCGCTATTTGTCTGCATGAAACTCTCATCTTCTGGCCGGCCGGTGTCACCGTGTGTGTGTGTGTGTGCGCGTGTGTGTGCGTGCATGCGCTTACGCGGCGCCGGGGCCAATACGCTATGCAAATGCAGGCTAATCTTTGTGTCATTACTGGCCGCGGATGAGAGGGAATGCGCCGAATCCGCCGATCATACACACACACACACACACACACACACACACACACACACACACACACACACTCTCGACCGCATATTCGGAAACGGCGCCAAATTCGAATCCATCGCGTCTCCGCCAGGCTATGCCACGCCACCGATAATGCCCGGAATCAGATTCAAGTTACCGCATCGGGCGGCCGGACGCGCCGCGAAGGGCAGCGCATAGGGCAAACCCGGAATCGTTCCTCTTCCCGCAGCTCCACCCCACAGTGGACCAGAAGACCGGTGCAGGCGGCAAAAATTCGAGACGCGTTTTGAGCTCCATAGTCGCTAAATGGGACTCGAACCGATCGTGTGACCCCGCCAATGGATTGCTCTCCGGACGAGGAACCCATTGGTGGGGTCACACGTTCGGTTGGAGTCCCATTTAACGACTCTGGAGCTCGAAGCGCGTTTAGAGTTTCGGCCGACTGCGCCAGTCTTCTGGCACACTGCACCCCGGGGCTGGTAATTACACTAGTACGCACTCTTTTAAAGCGAAGCAAAACACGTCACCCTCTCTGCAGCAGCCAGGCAGCCAGGCAGCCAGCGCGGCGCCAGTCCGTCCGAAAAGTGGCGGGTAAACAGGGGCTGTGTCTTGGGACGGCCTGCCTGCCGCCAACCTCGTCTGCCCGGCGCGTTTCCCTGTTTATCTCGTGCTGTAATTAAGGCCTTTTGCTTGTGTACCCTTTCTTCGCTGCCCCGCTACGCGATGCTTCGCGCCGCGGCGGAAAGGCCAGCAATATGCAGCGGGGGGCTGGAAGGGCCAGTGTCTCCGCGAGAAGCTCGAGAAGTGCGAGCGCGAGTTGAGCATCCCGACAGTGGCGCGGGGCTCCCCCATATCGTAATGGGGCGGTAATCCGTCAGTGCTCTCCGTCTCTCTCGCACTCATCGGGTATGCTGGCAAGGGGAGCGAGAGGGAGAGACAGAGGCGCCTCTCGTGCTGCTCGCGCTGCTGCGGGTGTCCGGGGCTACCTTTAGTTACAAACTTGGCGCCGGGGCGGCGATCCGGCAGCCTGGCCGCTTTGTGCTGCCTTGATGTGACCCCAGCGCCGCGCCGCCCCGCCTCAGGCCCCCAGCAGTGTAGTGTCTGGCCTGGCCTAGCAAGCCTCCAGCCTTGCCTCCAGCCCTGGCTGCCCTGGTGCGGGGATAAGCCTGTGAACTGTGAATCAGTCACTCCCAAAACAGCCCAAAAATAGCAAAAAAAAAAAAAAAAAAATGCTGCACCCGCCGGTACTTGAACCCGGTCCGCTTGCGATGGATGTAATTTGATCCAGCCTCTTCGTTGCCTCCGCCTCGCGCTCGGCGTACGGAAACAGTATAGAGCCGCGAACTACAGCGGCGGCACGGCGCAAAAGCTCGGCCGCCGGAGGGGGGACGCGAACCCGCGACAGTCACGTTCAGTTGGGACACACGATTTTCGCAAATACGGGCAAAAGCGGCGTAATCTCCTTAGCCCAGGTGTATTTACTGTAAGCCCCTCCCCTCACGGCGCGCCGCGGCGGCTCTCCCGGTCCAACACCTGCCCGGTCGGTGGCCTAATTCGGGCCTATGGAGTCACGCGTCGCGCAGCCAGCCACTGTCAAAACCCTAGCCTCGTTTAGCTGGTCGAGTGCTGTTCGATAGAAATTTCGAGTTCAAACCGCGGCTGTAGTCGTGCGCGACTGCCTGCACTGCCCTCGAAGACGTGGGGCCTCACTGCTGTGATTCTGAGTACCTATGCGTCTCTCTCTCTCTCTCTCTCTCTCTCTCTCTCTCTCTCTCGGCGCCACTCGAGCCTAATTCGGCGCGCCTTCTGGAAATGTCTCGGAAGTGCTTTATTAGAAGGGAAGTGACCGGCCGTATCGACGAAACATAATGAAATCTACGCTCAAGTAGTGCCCCTTTCACTAACGAGGCAGCCGCCCCTCACGAGCCAATCCGGGGCGGCCGAAGCTCCGCAGTGAGTGAGGGTCGAGAGAAAAGGGAGAAAGCAGAAAAAATGGGGGGGGGAGGGAGTCGAACCGTCGCCCCTGCTCTAAACAGAGAGAGCACATGATCAGACATCAGCAGAATCTGGGCGAAATCCGCTTTTCCCCGCGCTCACAAAAGAAGAAATGTGAAAGGCAAGAAATATGGTGGAGGAACAGGGCGGGGGCGTGCGGGGAAGGTAGGCAAGAACTGTCTCATCGAGCAGCCGTCCGAAGCCGGTGTAAGCGGCGAAGTGTACCCCCCGGCCCAGGGAACCCTCGGGTACAACTCGCCTAGGACTAAGGTACCCGGGGGTACACAACGCCTAGGCTCAATGTACCCCGGGTACCTCAGGCCTGGGGGGTACACTGAGCCTAGGCGAGTTGTACCCCGGGTACAAAAAGCCTAGGCGAGTTGTACCCGGGTACAAAAAGCCTAGGTGAATTGTATCCTCCCTCATCCGAGGGGAGGATACAACTAGCCTAGGCGAATTGTACCCCGGAGTACAAAAAGCCTAGGCGAATTGTACCCCGGGGTACAAAAAGCCTAGGCGAATTGTACCCCGGGGTACAAAAAGCCTAGGCGAATTGTATCCTCTCTCGCCGAGGGAGGATGCAACAAGACGAGGGGATTTATATTCTTCCCCGGCAGGATTGTGATGCGTCAATGGTTGGTTTTTAATTGAACCGACGGAAGACTTCTAAAACTGAATTGTCCTACCAATCCTAACCAAACCTAAGGGGCTCGTGACAGATCTTACTCTACTCGCGACAGATCTGATTCTCAAAAGAAATCGTACGACCTTTCCTAACCAAACCTAACGGGCTCCCCTTGGATGAAGGAGGATACAATTTGCCTAGGCTTTTTGTACCCCGGGGTACAATTCGCCTAGGCTTTTTGTACCGGGTCAACGCAGGGTACGAGGAAAATTCGCCTAGGCTAGTTGTATCCTCCCCTCGGATGAGGGAGGATACAATTCACCTAGGCTTTTTGTACCCCGGGTACAACTCGCCTAGGCTTTTTGTACCCAGGGTACAACTCGCCTAGGCTCAGTGTACCCCCCAGACCTGAGGTACCCGGGGTACATTGAGCCTAGGCGTTGTGTACCCCCGAGTACCTTGGTCCTAGGCGAGATGTACCCGAGGGTTCCCTGGGCCGGGGGTACACTTGTCCGCCGACACCGGCGCGTTTTTGCAGGGAGTGTCCCCGTCTTGGAGGACGCTCACTCCGATACCTGGAAAGGGGGGGGGGGGGTGCACTGCGTCGCTGTGAATCGCCGCGAATCGGGGAAGCAATCCCAACTCAGACTCGGAACCCTCATTAACAGTGGAGTAGCATTCCGAATAGAATGCCTTATTTAAGGAGACTTGTCAGCGGGCTCATCGCGTGTTGGCTTGCAAAATTAACAGTGTCGACCCAAGGACCTGATTATGTAGGTTACACCCGTCCCACCTGGAGCACTGCAAATTTTTCGAGCGTAAGAGGGACCACTCAGCTGTAGAAGTGAGAAGAAAAACAGCTCAGACAACCACGAAACACATTCAGAGACGCTTTCGAAACGCGAAGTATTTTCCCGCCATGAATGAGTCAAAGGGCTGTCGCAGCACTTGTACGGCGCCGCAGCAGGTGGCTGGGAGAGAGAGAGAGAAAGAGAGAGAGGCGATAAAAAAGAGAGAGGCGAGATGATTGGGAACAGCGGAGGGGGGCAAATCTGGCGCCGCCGCAGCCCGACATCATCTATCCGATACACATTTCCTCCGTGTATAGCCTTTTCTTTTCGTTGTGTTCTCTCTCTCTCTCTCTTGCTCTCTTTTTCTCCGATATGTGTCTGGACGACGCGGGCCGCACGGCAACCACTGCGACGATGAGCATAAACATGCAAAGCGCGGAGCAACGCGTCTGTCTCGGCGTCTAGTCTCTCTCTCTCTCTCTCTCTCTCTCTCTCTCTCTCTCTCTCTCTCTCTCTCTCTCTCTCTCTCTCTCTCTCTCTCTCTCTCTCTCTCCCCCGCACTCTCTGCTCCGGTACACATTTCCGATGCGGCATCGCTCCGAGCCATCATAACGGGGGAGGATGCCGCCAAAAAAATAAAAACAAATAAAATAGAAAATAGAAAGCATGTGAATGCCGGCGAGTCGTTGAAGATTTTTGTCGTGGCGGTGGCGGTGCTGCCTCGCCTCCCTCGAGGCTGTCGTCGTGGCCGTCGTCGCCGGCGGCGGTCGGTCGGTCGGCCGGTCTGTTTGCCGGCCGTCAGCCGCAGGGCCGCGCCCCTCCCCGCCCTGCAGTGCCGTCTGTGGTCCACCCTCAACGCACGGTCCGCCCAGTGTAAATCGGCATCACTCGCGGATCAAAGCCGCGGACACACCGTGAAACGCTCCCCGCCTCGGGAAACGCAAACGCCACTGTCCTGTCCGTCCTTCAAAAAACGCGCTGCTGGACTTGACCCGCTCCCGCGCAGCTCGCCGCCAGAATCGCTCCGCGCTGCACACTTTTTCTCTTTTTTCCCTCTTTTCTTCCCTTTCTTCCCCGCCGCATTCGCGGATCTTTTGCTCGTGGCTGCAGCGCGGCTGCAGCGCCGTGCTCTTACCTTGTCTCTGCGACTTCCACCCCAGTGACCCAGCGA